GGGTGTGGGTGTGGGTATGGGTGTGGGTGTGGGTGGGTGTGGGGTGTAGGTGTGGGGTGTGGGTGTGGGGTGTGGGTGGGCGCGGGTGTGGGTGTGTGGTGGGTGCGAGTGTGGACGTGGAATGTGGGTGTGGGTGGGTGTGGGGTGTAGGTGTGGGGTGTGGGGTGTGGGTGGGTGTGGGTGGGTGTGGGGCGTGGGTGGGTGTGGGGTGTGGGTGTGGGTTTTAAAAATAAGAAATAAATTCACACCCACACTACACTTACACCCACACCCAGACCCACCCACACCCACACCCAGACCCACCCACACCCACACCCACACCTACACCTACACCTACACCTACTCCCACACCCACACCCACACCCACCCACACCCACCCACACCCACACCCACACACCCACACACCATCCACACCCACACCCACATCCACCCACACCCCACACACCCACACCCACCCTAAACGATAACAATAATCTCATGACCCTTCATGATCAATTTTCCTTTATGATCAGTTATTCATGATTAGTCGTCCGCCGTGATCAGTTGTCTGTCATGATCAATTATCCATGATCAATTGTCCGTGATCAGTTGTCCCATGATCAATTTCCTGTGATCAGTGGTCCGCTCACCGTTTGTGCATTAGTTTCAGTTCGAACCTGTTCGTTGCTACGATTCAATGAATCAATTTGTGCTTGTAATTTATCAATAGTATTTTTCATCGAATTTAATTGCGCTTCTAGTCTATCAATAGTAATGGAAGTATTGTAAAGTGAAAAGAGAAAAAAAAATGACAATTTACTTTGAAGTCTCCTGTTCAACCTTTGGTCGATAATTGTCTTCGACAAGTTGACGCGCATAATTATATGTAGCAGCATTCTCAAATTCTGTCCATTGAGCATCCATTTCAGGTGACTTACAAAGACGTTCTAAATAGAAAGCATATAATAAAATTGTATTTTCCTGGTAATCAAATAGTAATAATATTTTGTTGATGTTTCTATCAACTGTCATCGACTAAACTTTTTCAAAACATCAAAACTTTTGGTTTTATCAAGGTTTGAACTGTAAATTCTATTGCTTGAAAAGTAATCACTGACTAATCAAAGATGATTTTACCATGAAGTTTTATCATTTTAAAAAAGTCCTTAGTATGGCTATGTGGTTCTTCCATAAAGCAAATATTCGCTCACGATACTTGAACCTTACATGAAGCAGCTGTCCTCTCTAGAAAGTAGCTTCTTATCATAGATTTCTGAGAACAAGACTTAAGTCAAAGACAAAGTTTATGAAAGACATATTTAAAAAAATTGGATTATTACTTTTTTTATCGAATACGTTCGTTATAAATAATAATTTAATCCTTATACTCACTGAACACTCGAAAAGTTGTACCCCGAAATATAACTGTATTTATGACCCATCCAATTTAGGCAAGAAGCGAAAGAGGTGGAAAAGCAAACGTTGGCTTTTGAAAATATTCTCGTATTAATTCATATCGTTGATAACGCCAAAAGTATTCATTCTTATCTTGAACTTCATTGATTGTAAAGCTAGATATTCGATTGAAATAGTAATAGTGGAGTTTTCAAATATAGAAAAATATACTTAAATACAGCAATAAGCAAGTTGAGGATCAAAATATTGATAAAGAGCATGTGCAAAGCTAACAATACATGAGTTAGAGTAGCTTCTGCCACTGCTTCCGATGAAGTTCCGTTTGATATGATATCTATATGAAATGTAGAATCAGATGAATAATAAAGAGAATTTGATTTACTGTCAAGACTGGTTTTTTCTTGATCGACAATTGAATACAAGAACCAATAAGGTTGATAGAATACAGCTTTAAAGACACTTTTAGCTGTAAATTCTATATCTCCATACAGGATTAAAGCACGAGATACTACACCGTAGGCAGCAATGCAAACAAAAATTACGCACATGAAAGCAGTTAGATAGCGTAACTACCAAAACATCAATATCTATGTTGAAGAAGATTTTCATATAACTACTCACCATATTACGAATCATGAAAAGTTTTGGTCCTAATAGTTTAATAGCACTAACAAATCGTAGTGAGAAGAGATACCAGATTTCAAGATCGATAGCTAGAATAATTCTATGAACAATTAAAGTTTTACATGAGTAGAATTAGATTGTTAATTAAATATTTTACCTGGCATTTGTAAGAAGGTCTGGTCGATTGTCTGATTGAAAGTAAAGTATAATGCCGATATAAAAAAAAATATATGGTATTGCATACATGGGAATTATCCATATGCCTGGTCGTTGCCATCGTTCCATCATTCGCGTGTAATAATCAACAGCTAACTATATTGGTCGTAGAACAATAAGATTATAGTGGATATCTCACTCACAGCGAAAATCTTCAATAAGCATTGCTGATAGAGTAATAATTAGATAAATTTTTGTCCAATGAATGGTAATTTGCTCTATGCTCATGTCAAATAACATTATATAACTAAAGACAAGTAAAAACCATATATAGAGCGCCTACAAATATATGAAATTTTTTTTCAATTCAAAGTAATGATCATTAATAACTTACGAAATCGTAGCATATCATAACAACTGGAGCTGAGTGAAAATAGAATACTTGTTGAAAGTAGTTTGAAGATTTGATGATATTATCTTCGATTCCTTCCCATCTATAATGCGTTTATCTAGTGTGTTAATAAATAGTCAATGAAAGAGATAATAAAATACCTATGAGAATCAATTGCTTGAGTGTTATCTTTTCTCTGCATCTAGAACAATGAAACATCAAGTTTTTATTGACAAATATAGTTGAATTCTCTACAAGCTTACCGTTTCTTGTGAAGTTTGATCAATAACATCTTCTGCATGATATTCTCTAAGAGGGTGTTTGATTAGTCCCAGCGATATCAAACTGAGAAAAAACCTTAATTTTGCTATTGATGATTCTGTTGCATTTCCTGGCAGTTGACCAAACCATTGTCGATTTAGAACTTGATTGAAACAGTCTGTGTTGACAAATTTTGTGATACGGGATGCAATTGCTACCTTCGATAATAATCATGATATAGAATTGTTAGAAAAAGTCAATGTGACCTACTTGCATACAAGTAACATTTCCAAAAAGTGGATTTTCACGTAAAAGAAGTTGACAAGCAAGCCGTTCATTGTGTGCGTAACAGGCATTAATGCAATCTGTAGCATATACTTCATATTTTTTTGCTTGTTCAATATATATATGTCGTACATCTAAAGTACTAGCAGATAAAGATAAATGTTGAGTCATACCAGCTGCGATCAAAGCTGCACTCATTCGCGATTCAATTTGTAACAAAAGGACAAAAGCAACATCAGCATAACCTACATACACACTCCATAAGAAAAGTTCGCGTAGCATATGTTGGCTACTGAATGGTTTACTACACGTATAACTGATAAGTGATTTCTCGATACTGTTGTCTTTCGATGACGTTTCATTCATTGTATTCGTACGACCATGATAGAAGAATGCTTTTGTATCCTGCAAGAATTGATTTCTTCGATTTCGCTCGACATAGAAAGAGCTAGCGAATGGTCCAATTAATTGAGTATAGTTTGAATCGAGTGCTTCTAATGTTTTTGGATTACTCCAACGCTAGAAAAACAACATATAAATATAGTAAGAGAATATTTTTAAATATGAATATATCTTACATTAAAATGTGTCTCAACTTTTTCATAAAGTTCCTTAATGATAAATTCGATAGCACATTCCACTTGTTGTGTGTTTAGAGAATTCTTATTATTTTCCGTTGATTCTTGTTCCGACTGAATTCTTTTCTGATCTAAATTGAGTTCATTGGGACTATTTCTTTTCTTCTTTAAGTTTTTAGAGCGTTTAAGAAATTTAGTTGTTTCAAAAGGATTGTAATTTCGTCTTAGAAAATAATCAACGAATACTGGTCGATTTTCTTTAAGTGCCAGTTCAAATAAACTAGGATAAAGTGTTGGATCATCCTAGAGGAAAATAGTAAGATCATTAAAAAAGTCTGAAGAAATTTTTTTTTTATATAGAATATACCTACTTCGAGACATTTAGGCATAGATTCTGTTCTATCTGTATAATTCCAGCTGATAGCTAACTTGAAAAAATTCTTCTGTTGTTCCGCATCACTTTGAACTAAAAAGTAAATTATCTTTGGATATCAGATATGCAGAGGATACACAAATAATTTTACTAGCATCTACTGCTTTAAAAATAATATCAGTAAGACTTGGATCACGTTCGAGACAAAATACGCTCAGATATTCGCGATAGATTGGTTCAAACAATTCTAGAATACTTTTAATAAGTTCCTCTTCATTTATGTTTTCATTTTCTCCTGACTTAGACCAATGTTCGGGAGAAACTAATTCGAGTAGTTTTTTCACATCATCTTCTCTAAATAAAAAGTGTTGTGGAACATTAAGAGAAACATTTTTACAAAGATTCTTTATACGTAGGCTTAGTTTCTTTGCTGGAAGCTTCGAGTAATGCACCAAGAACATTTGCCAAACGACCACTACCATGAATGATAATTACTGGTCACTTAGCCTTTAAATCATTTTTAATCACTTGTAGAGTATTCAAACCACCTTCAACAATGACCGTTATTGCTCGACATTTACATTCATGTTGTACTTTCTTGACGAAATCAGAACGAGGATTATCATCAATATAACCACCTAAACGACCATTGTCTAGTAGAATGAAATGTGAATGATGTTTATCCAGTGTTTTCTTTTCGTCATAATTTAATACCATCGGTGCTCTTTTCTCAGCAGAATCTGTTGAAGAAGTATATTCTATGTTACGTGACGTCTGACAGAATAGAGAAATAATATGATTAATCACAACATTACAACAGTGTCAAGTTCTACCTGCCACGTCAAAACTTTTCGCGTATGTTCTGTTACTGTTCCCCAACTGGTCAAACCAATTATAGTCGGGTTAGATGATTTTTTGTTCAACAATCTGTAACGACGAACACTTTGTCCTATTAATTTTGATACACCTTCGTTTAAACCAGTTGTCAACAACCATACACCTATATGTAGTCAACAAAGATTGAAATGATTTTTTAACTTCAAATTAGATTATACCTTTTGTGACTGCCGCTTGTGAAATACCATTCATGAATTCTTTCTCCAATTTATCAGTCATATTGAAATACGCAGCTCCACCAAAACAACGGATAAGCAAAACGGGCTTTTCGCCAATGTCTTTCAGAATAATTTGGTACAATGTGTTAAACGTGGTTCCTTTATTGGCATTGCATCGAATAAACTAATCGCAAGTAAACCATTTTAAAAACAATCTCAACGAAATCCTAATGTGAAACACGGCTTAACAGCTGTTATCAACGGTCAAAGTTTAACAAATAGTTTTAAGTCGACGCAATATATATATGCAATATTATCTATTCGATTTTTAGTTGCTGGTAAAAATATACGGTAGGTATTATTTGTCAAGGAAGCTAGAGAAGATGATTTACAAATCTTGTCCTATATTGACGCATCCATCGTAAGTCATGTTTCACAATGAAAGGTCATAATTTCTATTATTATGAATGTATTACGTACTCGAGCTCTATTATTAAGTTGCCCATACACAGTCAGATCCTGTTTCGTGACAAATTTTGGACCAAAAATAGCATTTTCATCTTGCCTTTCTGCCGAGCCATCAAAACTGTGGTCACGTGCTAGTCGGCCACAAGGACAAATTTTTGTCTGGTCAACAATTTTTTGATCATTAGTGGAATAAGCATGACATGTAACACCTATCAATTTCTTCGCCTTTATCTCTTTATCAACCAGATTCTTCCATGTTAATTCAGGGTCTTCCATGACGATATTTGTCGATGGTTGAGTACCATTTTGAGCAGTTACACGATTTGCAGACATCTATAATAATTGATTATTAAAAACTTTCAGCTTTGATGAAGTCCACACATGAACATTTTACCAGTAAAAACTAAAAACGACTCTTTTCTTTTTCTTTCTTTCACCGTTTGAAATGATAAACAACAACATTAACCTTGGCAACCTTGTCAACAGAGTTTTTTCTCAAAATTTTTCTTTCATCATTTTCTGAGTTCCATTCTGTTGTTTTGTTGTTTAATTGTGAAAGAACACTTGTATTATTTTCAGACCTTCAGCTAATTAATATACCATGGCTGCTAGACATAGAATATTTGGCACTGAGATAAAATTACTTGAAACTGTAGAAGAAGCAAAAGAAAAGATTGGTCAACACAAGTTGGTTGTGATTTTATTCAATCAGAGGTGAATATTACATTTATAATTATAAATAATCCATATAAGTTCTATGACAATAGATATCTCGATGGAAATAATGTTAATGTCGAGCATATATTTAACGGATGCCGACCAGTTTATGAAAACAGGTTTAATGTTTACTGCTACAAATGTGTTGACGAAGATGATGTTAAGGATGCATTCAGTATTAAAGTAACACCGGCGATTATTTTTTTTCGTGATGGCGAAGAAACTGATCGATTGGAGGATGCCGACCAACCATTTTCCACAGCACCAAAAGAAGAAAAGAATCCTAAGGACTACCAACTCAGAACATATTTCGATAAATTGTGTAATAATAAGACTAACTGACCTTAATGCCTCCTAAAAATAATATCCTAAACATAGCCTTTCATGTATTTTGTAAGTATCAGAGAAGGAACTGTATTCAATGAATCATCAAAATTTCAATAAAGATGAAAATATTTATTAAAAAAATACGAAATTAACACACAACGATGTAAAATAAGTAATAGATTACTATTTAAATCCTCAATCACAGCATTTCTTTTAGAACAATAGCTACAGAAAGAAGCCTAAGATAATATTGAATAAATCAACGTTCGCTCATAACATATTATTCTTTGAAATAAAATAATAGTTTTGTTCGATTTTATTATTCATGCCTTCTTTGCTCTTGTCTATTTATTTACTATTAGAAAAAAAGACGAAAGTAATCTTATATAATACATCAAAAAAAAGAAATATTGATGTTGACCTTTTTTATGTATCCTTTTCTTTCTTTCTATAACACGTTTAAAATATAGAAACAAAAAGAATCAGTAAAAAGCATTGTAAACTCTTCACATATGAAAGAAAGCTTCTCCAACAGACATTTTGATAAGTGAAAACAATTCAAAAAGAGGAGCTGAAAAGCATCAATAATGATCCATGGCGTTTTATAAAATGTTAATTTTGTTTCTGATTTAGAATCACAGAAACAGTCTTACTTTTTGATCATTACGTTTTTCTGAACCTTTTCAGTGTGAATCGGTAGCATGTACCAGCGTATAATAGGATACCCGCTCAAAATATAAAACTTCATTACGCATTAAATTAGAATGATTCTATATTTAAAATTTTTGTTCATCGTTGTGGAAGTACGGTATTGTGTTCAAACACTATTTTTCCCTATAATTTGACTTCAATATCTGATTTTTCGTTCAAGTGTTGGATGTGGGTGCGGGTGGGGTGTGGCTGTGGGTGTGAGTGGGTGGGGTGGTGTGGGTGTGGGGTGTGGGTGGGTGTGGGTATGGGTGTGGGTGTGTGTGGGGTGTAGGTGTGGGTGTGGATTTGGGTGTGGGTGTGGATTTGGGTGTGGGTGTAAGTGAAGACAAGAGATCGACACCCACACCCACACCCACCCCACACCCACGCCCACCCACATCCCACACCCTCATTGTTTGATTTTCTACTTTCGATACCCGAAAAATTCAACAATGCTTGATGTAAAACTTGAAAATGTCGATAACGTTTTGAAGTAGCCCATTCATATCACTCATGCTGAACTGTTATACAGAATATTGAAACAAATAATTTCATCATTTCGATAATTTTAAGTGTTATTTAGTTGAACCTACAAATGTGAATTGAGAAATGCTCCAAAACGTTCATCAGTACGTTAAGTCACAATTGACTCAATATGGGTGTGGGAGTGTGGGTATGGATGTGGGTGTGGGTGGGTGTGGGTGTGGGTGTGGGTGTGTGGGTGTGGGTGTGTGGGTGTGGGTGGGTGTGGGTGGGTGGGTGTGGGTGTGGGTGTGTGATGGTATGGATGTGTACGATGTTGACTATCATCGCTCGTAAACCCACAGGCGCACACCCACACCCACACGCACACCCACACGCACACCCACACGCACACCCACACGCACACCCACACACCCACACCAACAACAACACTCATACTCACACCCACAGACACCGCCACAGCCACACCCCACATCCCACAGCCACCCACACCAACACCCTGTATTTAATTTTTATACCACAAGTGTACAATAATATTTATTATTTCGATCATTATTCTATTCGTATTAGAAAAAACTTAAGCGCTTTTTATTTTTGTTCTTTTTCTGCTATTGATGGTTATACAGTTCTCTACGTATAATAAATCGACACGAGAAGAACTCTTTATATTTGATTTAATTAATGTGCTATATTCTTGTTTTAAGGAACTTTTTTTTTAATCAGTTTTGTCTTTTCTTCTAGTTATGTACATTTTTGACTGTTTTGAAATCACTATTGAACTGTATCTTTCGGAAACACAAGGGAAGCAAAATCCGACCCATGTAAACGATGGTGAGGTATAAAAGAGCACATGTTTTAGATTTAAAAACAATGAAAAACACATCCATCCCTACAGCATAAATCATAGAAAGAATACTTTTCACAATTTGGACTTAAAATATATCTTACCCAACAGAATACGTGAATTTCGCAATTATTTCAACATTCCATTCTTGCACAATTATTGTCAATGCTGAAATTACCTTTTTTGAATACTATATCAGAAGCAGTTTCGAGCACCCTTCTTTTATTCTTAGGAAAATAAAAATATTTTTAAAACATGCAAAATAATCGTCGTGAAAAACGAGATCGTGAACAAGGATCTTTAACACGAATTGCTATAGTAAATAACGATCGATGTAAACCTAAAAGATGTAATCAAGAATGTAGACGATCATGGTTAGTTTATTAAATCTTATATTTTATTTGAATACTTTATTAGATTCTCATTATTTTAGTCCAGTTAATAGAACAGAAAAATTGTGTATTGAAGTAAAACCTGAATCAACTAATTCTAATATATCAGAAGAATTATGTATTGGTTGTGGTATATGTAGAGGTGTAAGCCGTGCGGCTGAGCCGCCGTCGCCGCCGACAGACTCAAAAAATTTTAAGCCGCCGCCGCCGTGACAGTAGCAATTTTGGAAATTTTTAAGCCGTCGCCGCTGAGACACTTTAATTGCAGCCGCCGCGTCGCCGATGGTATTCAAAATTTTAAAATTTTCGAGCCGCCGCCGCCGCTGGCAACTAGCATAAATAAACGTTTTATTTATATTTTCTTTAATTCGGTACTTTGACATCTTAGAATCCCAATAAATCTCTTCTTCATTATCTTCCTCGTCTTCAACTTCACTTTCGTGCTGGTTCTTTGACCAGTCAGGTGCTTGGGGTTCTAAATTGTAAACAAACCCTTAATTCTGTGTTGGTTGAAAATTCTAAGTTATCATTTCAGTTGTTTATGTCTTTATATTAGATATATTAATAAATACAAGAAGAGACGAGCATTTTAAATTTTGATTAACAAAAACAAAATAAAAACAACAAACTTGAATACGCTAAGTGCCTTTACTTATTAACAATCGTGGTGGTGATTTTTCATTTATTATTTACCCTAGCAATTATATTTATTTTTAATTTTAGACTTTTTTTTTTATTATGTCTAGATGTGAATTAAAGTTTTTCCACATATGTGTTTGAAGATAAAAAGGCCGAGATATTGAAATAGGCCTTGTCTACACTAAAAATTTTGATGGTAAATTAAGAAACATGATTGGTTAAACAGTTAATAAACATTTAAAACACTTTTACAAAGTGCATTAAATTTATTGCACTATTCAGAACCACATTAAAGTTGATGCACCAATCAAAGTCTGATTGGATTTTTCAATGAGCGATTCCTCTATGATTGAAGTGTACAAAAACTACGATTCATTTCAAAGTCAAGGATTCTGATTGATGCATTAACTGACAAATGTAGACACGAATTGATTTAATACGAATTGAATACTGCATTATCCTCCTCGTGTAGACAAGGTTATAGACTAATTTATTTATGATAACGTAGTACTTTTTAAACTTCAAGCCGCCGCCGCTGAGACACTTTAATTACAGCCGCCGCGCCGCCGATGGTATTCGAAATTTTACAATTTTCGAGCCGCCGCCGCTGTGCAATCTTGAAATATCAAATCTGCGCCGCCGAGCATTTTAAAAAAATTTTAAAAAACTGGAGCCGCCGCCGATCAGCCTATCGGCTTACACCTCTAGGTATATGTGTGAGGCAATGTCCATTCGATGCAATAAGTATTATTAATTTACCAAGTAATCTTGATAAAGATACAACTCATCGCTATGGATTGAATTCATTTAAATTACACCGTCTACCAATACCACGACAAGGCCAAGTTTTAGGTCTTGTTGGCTCAAATGGTACAGGTAAAACAACAGCATTAAAAGTTTTAGCTGGAAAGTTAAAACCTAATTTGGGTAGATATTCGGTATTGAAAATAAAAAGATATTATTTTAGGTTTAATATTATATATTCAATTTTTATTTGATTTAGACACCACCGGATTGGCAAGAAATAATAAAATATTTTCGTGGTAGTGAATTACAAAGTTATTTTACGAAGATTCTCGAGGAAAATCTTAAAACTGTATTCAAAAGACAGGATGTCGATCGAATTCCACAACTTGCACAAGTAAATTAAATTTGACCGATCAATTTCTTTTTTTTTTTAAAGATTGTTATTGTTTTTGCTAGGGTCATGTACGCGATGTATTAGAAAGAACAAATGAACTAAGTGACCAAGGTGAAATATATGAATCATTTGATTTATCAAATGTTCAAGATCGACAGATATCTGATTTGTCTGGTGGAGAATTGCAAAGATTTACATGTGCTATGACTTGTATGCAAAAGGGAGATATATACATATTTGATGAACCATCAAGTTATCTTGACATTAAACAACGCTTAAAAGCTGCTGTGGCTATTCGAAACCTTATTCAAGAAAATCGGTATGTTATTCTAATTGTTGTTCTTTATTATTGTACATTCAAATACTGATCAGTTATTTATACATTCTTCGAAAAGTCAACCTATTGTTAAAGAAAAACAGCATGTTTTTAGGACATTTGAAAATAAAATTCTTTCGTATACATCAGGAATATAAAGAAGATTTATTATCCTATGTTAACTGTATAATATTTGTAGAATGAAATTGTATTTTCTATATGTCACAAATATAATGGTAAATTTCGTATCGTTATTTCACACTAGATAATAAAAAGCACAGCATAGCAAGTTGAAAGGATTTTTCTCTATAGTTTAGAGAATTAAACGTTATAGTAAAATTTAACTGAAATTCTATTTAGTAAGATATGTATTGAGACGATAAACCACATTCACATCCTTTTTTTTATCGTATTGTTTCTTTTTTGGTACAGATACATTATCGCCGTTGAACATGATCTTTCGGTACTTGATTATTTATCGGATTTTATTTGTGTTTTATATGGTTCACCTAGTCATTATGGTGTTGTAACAATGCCTTTTCTGTTCGTGAAGGTAAAAGAGACATGAAAATATTATTATATGATTTTATTATTTTTTGTTTGTAGGTATTAACATATTTTTGGATGGTTATATTCGAACAGAAAATTTACGTTTTCGCGATGTTGAGTTAACTTTTAAAGTTGTTGAAACAGCATCCAAAGAAGAAGTCAGACGTTTATCAACATATTATTATCCTACGATGAAAAAAAATCTAGGCTCTTTTGATTTATCTATTGATGCTGGTTCCTTTACAGAATCGGAAGTTATTGTTTTACTTGGAGAAAATGGAACTGGTAAAGAAATTTATAGAAAAAATAAATAAAGATATAAAGATATTGAATATAGAATTCTGAAACATTTTCTATTTCTAGGTAAAACAACTTTGATTCAAATGTTAGCTGGTAAATTAGAACCCGATAATGGAGGTTAGTTCATTTACAACTATTAAATTGCCATTTATTTCATTACATTTAATTCAAATGAGAATATACATCCATATTAGAACAGAAAGTTATAAGGAATTAATAATTATAAATTCATTTCTAAGGTTTTCTACGGAAATATTTACTGAGAAGTATGAAATTTTGATGAAGAGACAGAAATATTCGTATACACTAGATAAACATAAAGTTTCCAAGGAACATTAACATGTGTCTTTGAGAAATTTAATGTTCAGTTTAATTTAAATTTAAATTTTCATGCTAAGACTCTATATTTCTTTTAAATATTTAGTCGAAATGCCTCACATGAATATTTCCTACAAACCACAAAAGATTAGTCCGAAATTTACTGGTACAGTTCGTGATTTACTTCATGCAAAAATTGGTGAAACAATGTTTCTTCCACAATTTCAAACGGATGTTTCACGACCACTTCAAATCGATAAAATAATTGATAATCAAGTACATTTGATATTTTATTTTTTTCTTTCGTATGTAAAATAGTTTATTTTGAGGTTCAAGATTTATCTGGTGGTGAATTACAACGTGTTGCATTATGTTTATGTTTAGGAAAGTCAGCTGATGTTTATTTAATTGATGAACCATCAGCTTTTCTTGATTCTGAACAACGTTTACATGCTGCACGAGCTATAAAACGGTAAGGAAGATAATAATCAAGGAAAATTGGAAATCCATTAAATATTTTCTCCTAGATTTCTTCTTCATTATAAAAAAGTAGGTTTTGTTGTTGAACATGATTTTCTCATGGCAACATATTTGGCTGATCGTGTTATTGTCTTTGATGGAGAACCATCCATCAAAACTCATGCATCTGAGTATGAGAACTACTAGTTGAATTTTAACTTGAAAAATATAATTATTGTCTTTATATAGACCACAAGCACTTCTACCGGGTATGAATTCATTTTTAAAACAACTCGAAATAACATTTCGACGAGATCCAAGAAATGGTCGACCACGTATTAATAAGAAAGGATCTTTTAGAGTAAATTTAATTTCACAGAGAAGGTTTTTCTTTACGATTAATTTTGTATCTCCGTATGAATTAGGATAAGGAACAAAAATCAGCTGGTCAATATTTTTTTCTTGAATGATCAACGTTGAAAACATATTATCTCAATTATTATTCTCATCGTTCTGATTATGCATTAAATAATCAAATCAAATAGATTTTATTGCCAAAAAGGACATAGGACTGTAAATGAAATCAAGATAAATTTTATTTGTTATTTTTTATTTATATTTTTTCTAAATATATAAACTTTTGAGGACACAAATATGCTTGATAGTGATATTATTGTTTACCAATAATAATGTACCAAAAAGATATGGAATCAGTATTGAAAGCAAGACTTTCATCTAACTAATTTTTTTAAAAGGATGAAGCTGAGTGTGGGTGCAAGCACGTGGTCAGTACTTCACATGATATTCTACTAAAAACACTATATAAGATACCGAAAAGGATATCCTGTCTCCAGTATGTTGCAGAGACTTTAGAGTACTTTTTCTTTCTTTACTACTGCAGTTGGCTACAAATATTTATGGAGTGACACCATCAAACCGATGCGA